ATACCTTTACATTCAAATATGCCCTGTGATTCACTTGCGCTTATGGCAGTGAGATGTAGTGGTTTCATGTAGAAGTTATGATTTGCATCTTCTGGTTTATTTTGCTAAATAATTTTTAGAAATCCTTCCTTGAATTCTTGTCTGGTTTAAGTAATAATGTACTATCATGTGGAGTAACAATCCACATGTGTTTCCATGATTATTTCAGAATTCGTCCTAGCCCTTTTATTCGAAGCAATCTCTTGAGAACTCTACGACGTTTATATTGACGGCATTTTTTCGAATGCATATTTTTAATGAGGAAGCTATGCTATTAAAGTGCTTGGTATTGCATAGCCTCAGGAGGGTGATAATCTGCTCGGTATCTGAACTAAACATTAAATAGTTTAATCGCTAAGGGTGGTTAGCAAGGGATCTTCACCTTACTTTGGCCCCTTTTCCAGTTGAATCTGTCTCGACAGACGGTTTTCTATTTCTTACAATTTTAACCCTTAACCTAGAGCCACGCTTCGTTCCATTTATTCGTTACTGCCTTCCTTACTTTCCAGTCTATTTATCCTGCACTGGTGATATAAATGATTAACTAGTGCACATATCACTGACCTATTAATCATAATTAAGTTTTCTTGATGTATTTAAGTAATTTCAAATACTGATGTTTGAGAAATATGCTTAATTGTAATCTTATCTAATGTGATCGTGATTGGTTTCTTCGTTAAGATTTTCAAGCATATTTTATCTATCTATGCATCTTTGTTACTGTAAAGGCTCTATAACTTCTCACGGCAGTCCGTTGATCGTCCGCATTTTCGTCTCCCTACCTTTGGTCGAAGTACATGTCACAAAACAGCCTTATCTCGTCCTCACACTCTGACTAAGACTACCACAACTGCTGCCGTCACAATCAGCTCTGTCATCCTAGACACTACTCGTGCCTCTGTCCCTCCTAATTGCACCGACAGAGCTAAATCCGATTCACATCCTGCAGTCAGCGTCGACTCTAGCCCCACGAGTTTTGGCAGAGGCCGACAGCTTCTTGGTCTTTTCTCAGATCAATCCAAACCTCCTCCTGGTCCTGTGGATCCCTTTCAACTGGCAGCCCGGTTGGTTGGAATATGTGCCCCCTTGATAATGGATGCACAACCAAATGGCCTACCGGGAGTGTATGAATTGATTGTTGAGGTACGTGCTTATTATCTTTGTTGATTGCTTGACCCTTGAATTTTACTTTTTATTTCAACTGGCCTTAGAAACACTTATGGCACAAATCTATAAATGCTTAATTCCTCTATGGTAGTCAAACTTTTTTGTCTAATTTGGATAATATCAGCATCTGGGCCTAGCTTAAAAAGAGAATCTCCTAACTATACAGATTATATGACTCTCTCTTCGACATTGTGTTTGGCTTATTAAGGTATTCTTAGCCATAAGTAAACTTATATTTTCTAGCTCAAGATTCCCAGGGATCATTTTGCTAGGGTTAGGTATAGCTTTATCGTCCCCATGCCCCTCTTGTCCAATGTTTTATTCCATTGCTACCCACCCCTTTGTCTGCCATTCACTCAAGTCGCATTCCGCAGTTTCTAATTTGCTACTCTGTGTGGCTTTCGGTTGTCTCGCCAGTGGCGGTTTAGTACTGCTTCTACTTCTCCTCGCTGCTTTTCTACCCGGGCTGCCGCTTTGTCTACCTGGACCACCGTCTCAGCAGCTTCTAGGCTCACTTGCATCTGAAACTCCTCTCCTAACTGACACAGGAAAATTGGAACCTGAGCAGATATCAAAGCATACTTGTTCGAGCCTTGTCTGGCTCCCACCCATTCTTCTGACAGCAGAGCTGCTGCCACTGTCCGACTCCGAATCCCTGAGTGAGATTTAAGAAGCCTCATGACTGCACTCTTATTACTTTATCTACCTACTTTGTTCATCAAAATTGCCATTTGCTATAGATTAGTCAATACACCCCCATTTTTTTGTTTTAGAATAGCTTACCTATGCTTTGGGAGCATTCTCCAGGGCTGGTTCGATAAAATAAGCTCAACTAGTAAAAAAGAGCCTTGGGTCAGAAATAAGCGTAATAGATAAATTTATGCTATCCTTTATTTTGAAATAACTGATGTCAAACAAAAGGTTTTTAATTTCCTTGCTCCTAAAAGATTAATTTGAAGGTGTCTATATACTTTGTATGAGTTTCTTGGAAACCATAAACGTTTAAACTATATAAGTGGGTTGACCTTGTCGCAAATTAGTCTTCTTGTCAGGGCGACTTAGTAGAACGCACCTAGTCCGAAGTTGTTTGCCATACTAGTTGTCATTATTACCAGTATCAGACAGTGGACTTGGTACATTCTCAAAACGTTTCGTCGGCATAATCAGTGAGTTTTGCCATTTTCCGCATTAAACTACGAACTCGTCAAAGAGACAAGTGAAGCCGATCCTTTGACTAAACGTGTGCTTAACAGTTATTGTATCTTCCCTTCTGCCCTGGCCTATTCACATTTCCTATATCCTCCAATTACGCCTTCACTGTCTCAATTCTTTACTTGCTGAGTTAAATGTGGTACGATGTGTCCTTTTGAGTGGCTTTCATGAGAACCCTCCGCACTCTACGCTGGCCTTCTCACCCTCCCTTCATCCTTGTGCTGGGAATCTTGATCAGAGTCTGCCATATTATGACTCAGTCCTCCTTCCCTAGGTCTTACCACAGTCTCTCTCTTGCCCCGTAAGATCCGTCTGCCCTCTCCTTGGTTCACATATTTCACTCGACCCCTGCCACCCCATCTGTGCCACCCGAGGCATCTGACAGTGGACTTGGCACATTTTCAAACGTTTCGCCGGCACCATCAGTGAGTTTTGCCATTCTCCGCACCAAGCTACGAACTCGTCAACGAGACAAGTGAGGTCAATCCCTCGACAATCGTTCTGCCGAAAAAGGTTACACTATCACTTCTATTTCTGTCCTAACCTATCTATCTACTCTTTACTCTCTTATCCAACTCAGGCCCTATCACAACTTCTGACATGTTTACATTCCACTTGTGAAAATGTGTGCCCTTTTGTGGAAAATCTAATGTGGCCTCATCACACTTGCTATTCACCCCGACTTTTGATCGGCTCAATCCGGGTCCCCTCATTGTCTCATAGATCCGTTCCTTATCTTTCTAATTGACCGATTTCACTCGGTTCAATAATTCCATAAGGTTTTACTATAATTAGCCCATTCTTTTTAGGTGTTGCCGTTGCGTATCATATTTGCATGGGTAAATGCTCGTTATTTGATTCGGCTAAAATTATATTGCCCTTGATGTCGAAGCTTACTTCTCTTATCACTGCAAATTAGCGATATATGCACCTCAATTTTTTGAAAGTCAATATCCTATTCTGTTATTATTATTCTTAATCTGTACGACGAAAGACTGGGTTTTGAGGAATC